ACCTTCCGCTAAGCCCCGCCCCTTGGATATTGTTGCTAAGGTCCCACAAACGAGAGTGTAAAAACATGGTAGGCCTAAAAACATACTCAAAGCACGTGCGCTTGTGGTGGGACAACGCGTGTGGTTCTTGGACACGCTCGTATTCCTGAACTGTTCTGATTGGTCAGTTGTTAAGTTTGATCAGGGAGTTGTTTGATAGACCCGGAAAGGTCCATTAAAAACAGGTGTTAACGCGACTGGTCAGTTGTTAAGTTTGATCAGGGAGTTGTTTGATAGACCGGAAAGGTCATTAAAAACAGGTGTTAAAGCGACACATGAGTGTGAACGCTGAAACGCATAGAGACCAATTGCATTCTTTCTTTATGTTTTTACTATATAAAGATAATAAAAGTTGCTATAGCAATCTTTTTTTAAGTCGTTGGTCATGTGTGCACCAGGGTCCATGCACACGACGATATTCAAATTGTTCCAAGAATTATACAGGGGCGGATCCGAAAGTGGGGGTGGGGGAGGGGGGTCGATGAGAGACAACAGACAACACTACCCTAGGCGGTCTAGGGGCATGCCCAATGGAACTATTTGTTTTCTAGACTCCCCGGAAATTACCTCTGACTTGTTTTGGGAAATCAATAATTTCTTTTTCTTTCTTCTAGATAATACTATTAGGCCTAGTATTAGGAATTTACAGCGAACCTAAAGCTATACATAATTTGAATGGTATTTTTACTCCAGCAGTAAAAGTTTGCAGGCCATTTAAATGTAAAATTAACTTAATTACACGTCTCAATGTTAACCCTTTTACATTTAGTTTACAAGAGTCAGGGTTATTATTTTAACAAGAATATTTTGCCTACTATAGTATACATGGACCTATTACAGTATATTATATATAAAATTAATATACTGTAGTAATCAACAAAATTCATATAATATAATGTTCCACATAGATGTTTTGTGAGGTATGCGGAAGCGAACAAACAAAGTGCCCTGAGGCTCCAGCAAAGCATCGTACCATTCTTCAGATTGCCCACAGGTGTCTATAAACGAAGACCCAAGACCCCAAAACGAAGACCCTATTTTTCCTCTTTTATTTTGATGACCATACGATAGGCTGTCACAAAATCAAAATTAAGATTTTTTTGGCCGTCTGTTTGTTGAAATTTTCAAGGGTCTTCGTTTTATAGACACCCATGGGTGCTACAAAACGAAGACCGAAGACCCGAAAAACGAAGACCTCCCATTATTTCTCAATTATCTTATTTTAAATGTAGGAAATGCTATCTATGATGGAAATTTTGCCGTTAATTTTTCTCTTTCTGTTCCACAATATAAATTACGTAATCCTGTTCTTTTTTCAATACCTGGGGGGTGGGGAGAGTCAACGTTACTAATCATGGGTTTATTAATCGTCTGCCTAAGTTATACAATTCTTTATGTAAAACTGATTTTTTTTTATTGAGATTTTCTGTGATTCTCTTATGTGTTTTCGTCAAAAAGTTTTGTCCAATGTTAGTATATTTAGTTATCCTTACTTATCGTAACACCTATTTATATTTAGATTTTATTATTCAATCCTGTAAAGGGTGACTTTGGTCACTGTTGGACTTTGATGAAATAAAAAAAAAAATGAAAGTATTTCAAAAATCATCATAAAACAGTTGCCAAGTACCTATTTCTTTTCATCACGATTGAGAGAGAAAAAAAATGTGGGTCTTTTGTAGGCACCCATATAGGGTGTCTATAAAACGAATACACTTAATTATCTCATTCATCCTATGTTGGTGGCACTACCAAAAGACCGATGCTGCACATATGCGTCACTTATACAGCATTCCTACTGTTTATTTTAACATGGAACAAATTTATGAATGAAATATTTTTGTAGGCCCTAAAAATACGCGCATAGGCGTAGATCCCGGGGGGATGGAGGGGATATATCCCCCCCCCCAATATTTGACAAGGGGGATGGTCCATTGTATCATCCCCCCCCCCAATATTTTGACTATGTATGGGATAAAATGGAGCTTTACACACGTCAAAAGACTGTCACAGAAATAATTTGCACTGTCTTATGCTCTTACAAAGATGAAAATTAGCATAATGTATTAATGTTGATAACACAATTATTTTATCTGGTACCAATCTAAGCTCTTCTTTCCTTAGATGTTAGATGTGCTTGCAAAGAGAGCCACATTTCAAACTGAAGGGTGTGTACGACATCAGTAATGTTATATCAATTCCAAGAATGTTTAAGGTTATATCGGTTGATGAGGAATTTAATGATTAGGCCTATAACAGCAAATTGCATCAATTTATTTTGCAAAAACAAGGTTTCCAGCTTCAGAGGGGGGGGGGGCACATCCCCTGTCCGTACAAGGGCACACATTGGCGCTAACACCAGGCGCGTAACAGGGGTCTTGTGTCCCCAAGACCCAAGACCAGGCTGGCCAAGCCTAGGCTTGCTTCAACTTT